TGACCGAGCGCCCGAACCTGTTCACTCTGGGTTCAGCGTCCGTGCCGAGGCTCTTACTTTCGTGGCTGGGAGTGGGTTGGCAGTGAGGTGTCCTAACTTAAGGCTCCATTCAGATCCCCTACCAATCCAAGCACAACTAATATGTTCCTTTGAACGCTTTCCTGGCGGGGAAATCATTTTCCCTCCTGACCTCAAAAAATATGAAAGTGCACCGATCGGAACGCATTTTGGAAGACGACACGCCTGAGAAAGCAATCGCGCAGCACTCCATGAAACAATGAAACAGAACAGACAAAAAGAGTGCGGGCCCTTTTAACTTTGAAACAGAAGAAATAACAACCTTGCGCCCTTCCTTCAGATTTTGTCCACTGCCTCCTTGACTTTCCCTTCTTCACAAACTTTGGAGACGCTCCTCCAGCTTTCGTGGGAGGGAAAGAGGGATCCGAGCCCTAGGTAGTTTCCTGGAAGACCACTTTCGGGAAAGAGAGCCACTCGCCAGATCGAGCAGCTTACCAAAACGAGTGGTTTCTGGGGTGAATGAGTTGCTGGTCCTGTTCTACTTACTCTCTGCAGATAGTGTCCAACAACTACGGATTCCACATTGATTGATCAAAGGAAAGCCAACAGAGGAGACCACTTTGGGTCCTACTGTCGGACACGCCCGAATTTAGCCAATGCACCTATGACTTGCGAGGTATCATTATTATCAAAGCCAAGTGACAGGCCGTTGCAGGGCCGTCAGAAGGCAGCAGAAGACAACTGAGTATCTTCCAAAGAAATGAGGCAAGAGGTCGAACCCGGAAATTCCTAAGTCAAAAAGGAGTCCACACTCCCGGACGAACCTGCCACGTTTCAGGCTCCCTGCCCCAAAACTGTCCCTAGCGAAGAGATGTCTGCAATCACAAGTAATTAAAGGTTATTCTACATGTTACGCCCCAAGTCTTGGGTGAGCGGTGAGCAACCCTGCTTGTGAAGGAATCAACATGTGAGCAGAACGGAGCCATTTCCCGCCCTGCGTTCCTCGTCTGCTTAACACCGTGGTTTGTTGGCCATACCCATGACTAGATCACTTAAAGCAGAAAACGTCCCTTTCACATCATAAATTGGCCGCAAGCCAAAAAACAAACAACAAAAACCAGCGCAAATGAAACAAGCAGCCAAAAAAAACCTCCGACTCAGCGACTCGCACATCCGCGCCATCCGAGGACTGCCGCTCCAAGTTCAGGTTCTCACCGCCCAACGAGACCTGAGAGCGACCCGCACAAGCTGCCAGCCCGGCGACCCTGCAAGAAAATGAAGATAGGAAATCCGTGCCACTAAACAACTGGGACTCAGCTATGTCATATGTACGAACCCCCGATTTATGGGTTGCATATGCCGAGGTCATGGCAAAGATGCTGATTCTATCAGTTACGTTATGCTGTATAATCAGTGTTCAAAATGTACAGATTGTGATCGAATGAACCAAACAGCTTGTTGATCCATGTCAATGGGATTGGCCCATCCATTCCAATGGATTTCTTCGTGACAACATGCGCTGGTATGTCCTGCATTGTCATGCACAATTCAAGCGAATCAGAAGCAAGAGTCTGTGCAAATATGTCAGCAATCGAGCAAGCAAGAAAGAAAGACATCATAAGCAAGCAAACAAGGCAAGGCAAGGCGAGGCGAGGCGAGGCGAGGCGAGGCGCGGCGAGGCGAGGCGAGGCGAGGCCAGGCAAGGCAGGCAAGGCAAGCAAGGCAAGGCGAGGCGAGGCGAGGCGAGGCAAGGCAAGGCGAGGCGAGGCGAGGCACGGCGAGGCGAGGAACGGCGAGGCGAGGCACGGCGAGGCGATGCAAGGCAAGCAAGGCAAGGCCAGGCCAGGCGAGGCGAGGCGAGGCGAGGCGAGGCGAGGCGAGGCGAGGCGATGCGAGGCGAGGCGAGGCGAGGCGAGGCGAGGCGAGGCGAGGCGAGGCGAGGCGAGGCAAGGCGAGGCAAGGCAAGGCGAGGCGAGGCGAGGCCAGGCCAGGCAAGGCAAGGCAAGGCAAGGCGAGGCGAGGCGAGGCGAGGCGAGGCGAGGCGAGGCGAGGCAAGGCGAGGAGAGGCAAGGCGAGGCGAGGCGAGGCGAGGCGAGGCGAGGCGAGGCGAGGCGAGGCCAGGCAAGGCAAGCAGATCCATTGTTCTGCTAGCAAGCAACTCGGATTTAGAACCCATCCTCCACGTCTGCATGTCTCCTTATTGGTTGTGGGGTTGCCTCAACCCCGCCCCACCACAAGGGTGCACCTGTTGTTGAAGATACCTTTCTTCCCTAGAGAGAAAAAAAAAAAAAAAAAAAAAAAAAAACTGCATGTGGCATGCGACAAACCCACACCGCTTCAGCTCCTGAGACCTGCGCAAGGTCCGAGAAGGAATAGCTCACGCGTGGCCTGAAGCTTCCGGACACCCTAGCAAAATCGCTGCCAGAAAGGAGAAAAAGAGGAAACTGGGGCCGTTTCTCAGTACTCTAGGGCTTGATTCCCCGTTCTTTTCAACCATCGCTCTTCTCAAAAACCAGCTGTTTGCCCTGGGTGTTTGGTGGTTTTCTAGAAAGAAGGATCCCTGGAAAGAATGGGGAAGCTACCCTTAGAAGTATCTCTCTCTGAGACTGAGCTCTGGGTTCCTACGAAGGCTGACACAAAAGGTGGCACCCACAGAAAATGGGAATCCTCCCCCAACACGAGGCGGGTCTCAAGTCTCCACATTTCTACCCTTGGGCATCGCTCTGCCGGGCTTATCAGAGAGAGCGCATATGGTCGCGGGGCGGAACTCCCGAAACCTCAAGCACTTCAGTGTCAAAGCCCTGAACATGTCAAAGTACCAACCACTTGGGCAAAGAGCTGAAGCAAATGGCCATGGGTCAAAATCCAAATCGTACCCCCGGTGAACATCCCAATCCCAACTCAAATAGACTAAAATCGGTGGTGCACCTACCCCAAAATGGTACCATTGGTTTTGACCCACAGCCAAGTAGAAACAAAACAAGGTACCTGGCCCTGAAACAGATCGCCCACTCAGCAGGTCAGTCCGCAAAGCATCCAGGCACATTCAACCATGGAGCAAAGCGCGCCACTACCGCAGCCATGGAGATATCATATGTCTTGTCCACTTTTTTCATCAGGTGGTCCTTTCTGAAACCCATAGCTCATTCATGTTCTCAAAGGGAAACCAAGGGATGGGTTTGTCAATTTGACCAGACCGATTTGACTCTCCAACTCTGCTCCGGCAACACTTTGGACCCCATGGATTTCAGCTGGATTCTCTTCGTTTGTTGCAAAACAACCCCTGGATCTTGGTTGGCCTGAAAGCACCAACCAAAGGCTTCCCCCCGCCCAGTTTGCACACACTTAGAGCCTGGATGTAAGATCCCATGCCTCACGACAACCCGTTTCTACCCACGAAAGGAAGCCAGGAAGGCTCGTAGGCCCCCATTAACGGTAAGCGAGGCAAGCGCCCCTCAGCAAACCCATGCCTTTTGGGGTGCAACCATAGGGAAATTCCCAGCTGTTCGCCATGACCATGTTCCGTCCCAAGAAACGGTGAGAAGCTACACATCTCCTTCAGCGAGCGGAAGCCCGAGTGCTTCCCGTCTTCCCGAGGTTTGGCGGGCTGGTGTCAAAGTACCCGGCCCGCCGACGGTCGGCGGCCCATCTTGTGTGTTTGTTGACTTTCTCCAGGGCATTCTGGCCTTCTGTTGCGGCTTTTGGTGGCTTTCCGACCCCAGACCCACTAAACTAAGCCCACTCTAAGCCAGCCCTAAACCCACCCTAAACCCAACCTAAAGACCCTAAAGACACAAACCCTAAACCAACCCAAGCCAGCTAAACCAACCCAAAAGCAACCCAAAAGCAACCCTAAACCACCCTAAACCACCCTAAACCAACCCTCACCCACCCTGAAACCAGCGCTAAACCATCCCTCCACTCAGCCCGAAACAGACCCAAATCAAATCCCAGCCAACCCTAACACCCGCCCGAAATCACTTTAAACCAACCCCTAAACTTGCACTAAACCAGCCTAAACCTACCCGATACTTGTTCAACACCAGCCCCCAACCAGCCCCAAACCAGCACCCGAAGCAAACCATGTCCAACCCTTCAGCCAAAACCAACCCTAAACCCACTCTAAACCAATTTGAACCAACCTTGACTACCTTAAACCAGCCAAAACCCACCCTTGAACAAACCCTAAGCAAGCCCTACACCAACCCTAAGCCCACCCAAAACCAACCCCAAACTAACACTAAATCAGTACTAAAACATCCCCAAATTACTCAAAGCCTGACCTAAACCAACCCTAACCCCTCAAAACGCAGCCAAACCACAACTAAACCAACCCGAAACACACCCTTAAAAAAATCCCTACAGAAACCTTAAACCCCAGCCTAAACTGTTCACCATCCCTTTACCATGCAAGCGGCAACACACCTCGAGCAAACCCTATGCAAACCCACACTGAACCGGCACGAAAGCATCCGTAAACCACCCGATGCCAGCCCTAAACCGGCACTCAACCTTGCCCATGCAATCCAACCTAAACCAACCCTAAACGCACGCCAAAGATTCCCACCCTACACAAACCTTGAACCCACCCTAAACTAAAGCTTCCGCAACCAAACCTATGGAAACACCGGTTGTGGATGGAGGGCATGTGCAAATGTGCATTTGTAGAACCGGGGAAGGAGTCTCAAAATTCTAAGGCGGCCTCTGGTTGAGAACGCGACATCTTTTCAGCGGCCGTTTCATGCTGTACAGACCAATGCTCGGGGAACATATCTGCACTTTCCCCGGGCGGAACGAGTGGAGAGAAAAGGCCGACATGTCCAGCAGCTAAGCAAAGGATCCATTACCCGAAGCAAGTCCTGAAAAGGGCAAAGTGGCATGTTTCGATCTTCATTCCTGGTCACAAACAAATGGCAACCTGTGAAACCAGCAGTTGTGTCGAGAAATGGACCCGGGAAGGGAAAAAAATCGTGGACGCACGCTCAAAGCAGGCGGTTCTGATATTGCGCTTTCTGGACCACACGGCTCACCTGGCGTGGCTGACATTTCTTTGGCAGGAAATCGCGCCCGAAAGGAGACCAGTTGGATGGGTCAGTCGTTCTCAGGAACATCACCGAAAGGATTTTCCGGGCATGAAGGCAGTTGGAATCTCCCGAAAGGCGACCCGTTGGATGGGTATGTCTTGGCACATTTCGCATTCATGCACCATGGTCAAAGCTTCTTGTCTGCCTGCTGCCCATTGAGACGAAGTCTTGTTGTGTTTGGCTAATGGCTCACTTCCCCATGGACCATGGTCTCTCCCCCCGCCGATAATCAGATGCATTGCATCCAACAGCCGGGCTGGGGAAAAGGGGGGGATCTCCTGAAACCGCAACAAGGATACAGCAACCTCCTGCCGGAACAGGAGAACAGGAGAAAATCCGCACAACAAGCAGAATGGCGCATCTCCCGTCTCAATCAGTATAAGCTGCCCAAGTCTTCAAATGCGGGTGAGTGCGAGAATAGGGAAGTCCCCGAATGTCCTTTGGCGGTTTCAAGGGGAAATCAGCTATCAACAGGTTGCCGTTTGTAAATGCCACATCAAATCTTGGCAACACACCTTGCATTACCTTGCTACAGCCGTGGGACTGCGAACAGTGATCAAGCGGTGCCTTTGCGCTCTCCCGCCTGGTCCGCACTAATGAGGTCCGTCTTCAGGCAGTTCCGCGTCGCGGACGCGGGCGCCGTGGCCGGCGCGGCCGCCGCGGCCGCCGCGGACGCCGGCGCGGCGGCGGCGGAAGCGTAGCCGCCGCCGCCGAACCGCGTCGAAGACATCGCGGGCATTGCCATCGCAGGTGTCCGGGAGGACGGGGCAGGCGCACTCCGCGGCAGGGCGTGCAGCTCGGCCTGGAAAGGCAGAGGTGCCCACTCAGTTCATTGGTGCTAAGGGGCGCCTTTCAGGACCATACACCAGGTCAAGAGGGTCGTAGTCAAGCCGAACTCTTTGCACCAGCAGGCACTAGCAGGTTCTCAAGCGCTCTAGATCTGGATAGGCATGACATCATGACAGCTGCTTGGTGGACACATGCGTAGGCATTATCAACATGTGATTCCTTGAATGATGTATGCCATCATTTTGGGAGGTGGGCATATCATCAACAGTGTCGTAGGCTATCCTTTTTGAAGTTGGGCAGGCTCTAATCAACAAGTGCGTTCTCTTTAAGGACGCACGCTATCATGTCTCGGGGGGGGGGGGGTATATCATCAACATGTGTTCCCTTGAATGACATACACACTATCTGTTTTGCGGGGGTGGGCATATGTGTTCCCTTGAACGACGCACACTATCCCTTTTGGGGGTGGGTATATCATCATCATGTATGTTCCCTTGAACGACGTACGCTACCTGTTTTGGGACTGCGCATATCATCAACGCATGTGTTCCCTGAACGAATGAAAATACGCGGAGAGTCTGCCAAAAGGTGTCTGTGCATTGTCATTTGTAGGGGAGATTAGCTGAATTATTGGTGCAGGGGCAGTGTTGCTCTATGTTCCGGAAGCATGGAGAACATCAAGCCGCCAGGAGTGTCCCGCTTGCCCGGCCGAACAAGACAACCAAACAACTGTACACCCAGCCCACGTTGCACTGGCTCGGGTCCCAGTCCCCGGTCCCCGAAAGATCCAATTCGCCTTGACGGCTTTCAGAGACTTCTGCTCCCTCGTGCTGCCCCAGCACGGTCTGGTGTCGTTCTGCATGCCTCGGTGGGAAATGGCTGTGGGTGAAAAATTCGGTCCCAAAATGGCTTGACATGGACTAAAACCTGCGGTTCCCCGGTGGGTTAATTTTGACCCATACCCAAATACTTCCCAAGAATCCCGCCAGGCTATCCGTGGGCCGCCAATACTTGGAAGCAAGCAGAATTGCAAAAATTACGGTACTCATACTGAGAATAGGGAAACTGTATGGAAGCCAGAATTATTCTTGGAAGACACCTGCCTTTTGGAATGGGTTCTCGTCGGCGGGCCCTTCATGCATGCTCTATCCATAGCCGCCAAACACATGCTACGAAAGGGTGCCGTGTGTAATCCACGGTCAAGGGTCCATTGCAAAGGGGGCATTCCATTTTTGAGGAGACTGCTCCCATGTTTTTACCATCATCCAAGCCACCCTAGGATTCACAAATCCGTGGTTAATGAGTAGGCTGTGTCCCATTCTAGAGGATAAACTGCACCTTTTCGTGAACACCCGCTAATCCACCTTGGTTCATCTGGGCTCGACATTCGTCTTTCTGAAGAATCGGACCTAAAAGGGTCTCATTGGGTCCGAAACTTAAACTAGCGGAGGTCCCTGCCCCTCTGAGGAGCTGGTCGCGTTCCATTTCAATTGCCGGCAGTGTCTCCTGCAACTGGCATTGTCGCCCCGAAAAGGTTACCCTTCTGCTGAAAACCCGGTACCTCCCCTGATAATCTGCAGAAGGACAGAAAACCGTCCGATCTCTTCCCCAAATAACCAATGCGTTCAAAAACACCACGGGGGCAGAATTGCGGCTTGGGGTCTACGCCTACCCATCCGCTCCAAGATGCGGCCATCCGTATCCATCTGCACGCTGGTCACGCCCCGGGCCTGAGGGTCCCCAAGTCCAGAGCTTGGGGCACACACATGGGACAAGTGTCTGGTTCTCAGAGAAAAACTTGGGGGACTGACCCGAGATGAAACAAATTTCTTGTGGCTTCCTCTTCTGGGATCTGTAGATTCATTCCCTGAAACCCTTGGTGATTCCCTGAGAAGCAGCAAGAACATAGTACTCCTCGAGTGGCCGTAGTTCAAATGCTGAAAAGGTCAAAGCTTGTACCAAAGAGCAACCAAAACAAATCACTGGGCAAATCATAACTCCTCGCTTGACTTCAGCGGTCCCCCTTCATAGTGAGCTCGGAAAAGGTTTGCCCAGATCATTTCGCCTCTCGGAGTACCCGTCGCTTACGGCCAGCTTCCCTGTCGAACTTCTTGTAGCTGATACGGCGGATGGACGAAATCCAATTCGCACCAAATTGAAACCATGGGAAACTACTGCTTGGTATTTTCACAGGGGAATCATTATTGCAGGGTTGCTTAGGTGGTGCGAAATGGATTTCGTCCATCCACAGCATGAATGAAAACTGTTAGCTCCAAAAGATTCCTAGCAGGTCGTGGCCCGGATCCCATCAAATACCCCGTTTTAAGCCGATCTTCGGACCCGCCGGTGGCTATGCAATCAAGAGAGCTTTCCACCTCCGAGCCCTTAGGGCGAGCTTTTTTCAAATGGAAGTCGGGTCGAAGTAGAACTGCTGCCAGTCAGGTGAGGTGTTTGCCCCATGAAAACAGATGTCATGCTGGGCGTGGCAGGATGAGCATCTGGAGGGGCGTATGGTGAATTCCAAAGGGCCGGCGCCAGGCAAAGGACAGCCCTGCCTCAATGGTCTCGGAGCAACAGTTCTCTCAACTTTGGAAGATCGAGGCCGTTCATCGGGATCTATATGGCCGCCGGCCGGAAAGGAACAGCCGCCAGCGATACTTGCGAGTTAGGCGACGTAGTCATGTTAGAAAGCAAAATTGATATGATAGGAGCTTGAAAGGATATGAAAGGGTGAAAAGCAAGTGGTGTACATGGGGAAGTCCTTTTGCACCCTTGCGACAAGGTTGGCATACCTCTAAGAATCCTACACTCTCGGGGCCAAACATATAAACAAGAAATCTAGAATGGCTGAAGGTTAAATGAGATTGGAGTTGCACCCTGATATAACATACACATCAAACTGTGTGTTTGCGTGTCACCTCCTAACTCAACACCAGTGAATGTTAAAGGTCAAAGCTTGAGGGTCGTCTAAATAGGTTGAAAATCGTCCCAAAAAAAAACTTAAAGCAACCATAGCACCTGTGTGAGAGTACCTGGAAGGTGGATGTCCTCTTGAGGGGATTTTTTGTCAGGTGGCAAAGTGGGAGCAAGGGTGAGCGTCCAAGGCTTTTGGCCCACTCACAGGATTCGCAAGACCTGGGGGCCATGTTTTTCAACCCCCAACCCTTCAAACAAGACAAGAAATGGAGGTGAAGGGTTGGAACAGCAGGGTGGCTCCACAACCCCTGAAGCCAACTTGTCCACCCCCGCAGATTCCAGACTAATTCTCAGCTTTCCCCAAATTGGTGGTTGGATTGGTGGTGGAGGTTCGGGATGGTTTCCCATTTGCCCACAACTCAGAGTTCAAACTCCAAACTATCCAAACTTCACCTTCTGCAATTCAAAGACCAATCCAATCTCTGCAATTCAAAGACCTTTCACCTATAGCTCCAATCCAATTTCAACCAAAATCCATCAGACTCGGATCCAAAGGACCTTCCCCCCCGCTTCGGGAGGAGCACTCCCGAAACCGGGGCGAAAAACGCTCGCGGCCGCCCCGCGCACGCGCGCGCGCCTGGAGGCTCTGAAACGCGGCGCCCACCGCCGCCTCAGTGGTGATCTCCCGGCCCTCGCGCCTGGCGCCTGTCTGCACCCGCAGCACCTCCTGGCCCGAGGAAAAAACCCGAGGAACAAAAACAAAAAAAACAGCGCAGGCGACCTCGGACAGGCAGAAAAGTTGCGCCCTTTATCTTGTTTTACCACATGTGTTGGACCTTCAAAAGCAGTGAATCGAATCTGGATCGAGGGTTTTTGTTTGACCATCGGAGGTAAGGCTCTAAGGTGGGATAGGCGCATACATGGTCCTTGAATTTAATGGGGTATGGGCCCTTGGGGAGGCACACTAAACCCCAACAAGAGGATTCCGTTTCTCCGTCCGAGATTTGAGCTGGTGGAATCAGTTGCTACCATTCTTAGTCAGAGAATGGTGCAAAGTCCGGGTTGGACACTTCCCTGGCATCCACAAACCAGCCAGAAAAACGAGACGCAGAATCAAACAGCAAGGGCGCCACGAAACACGAGAAGCACAACCAAGTCGCAAGACGAACAGCAAGAAGACACACACACACGCACACACAGCAAAAAGAATGTGAGCCCAAAAGGGCAACAACACGAGAAACACCTTCTGTTCGATGGGACCTTGGGACTCCCCCACCCCAGCCCGACTTTTTCACCTTTTGCTTTAGGGCAAGCAACGACTCCAGGCAAAACACAACATGTTGTTCGATTTCCCCCGGTCCTCTTCCACCTGGCGCTGCAGCTTTGAAAGCGCCAGCTCCTGTGATCCGCGCATGAACCCTCCACATTTCCCTCAGCCACCCAGTAATAAGATCCTGGATCGCCAGTTGCTGTCTTTTTTCGATCCATGCACTTTACCCCAAAAGCCAGCAACAGTGACTGAACAGAACGGCAACTTGGCGATCTAAAATCTTTGATTTGGGTCCCATACTGGAGAAAAAACAAACTGTTGACATGGATGAAGCAAGATTTGAAGGGGAAGAAACACCTGCACGAAATGCGGAATAAGTTCAAACGGGATCGCGCTTGCTCTTGTGTGTGAGTCATTGAAAAGGGGATGTTTAGTGTTCGGATGTTGGCTTTGTCAAGCCAACAAGAGTGAAGCCAGATGCTCCCTCGCGGAATCTGGAACCCAAAACACCCTCATGTTCAGAATCTCAAGTATGACGCTCTTTGGATAGATGTTGTTGGGGCTTTGATTACATGTGACTTGAAAACAGCAAGGAGTGCGGAGGCAATGTGCTGCAAGCACCGTTTACAATCCATGCTTTGAACTGGGCAAAACATTTGGTAGCCAAGGCGCGTGGGACCAGCGTTGTATGTGCAAAAGCTTGTCTCCAAAGGGGGAAACCCCAAACTTGGGTCCTTTTGCATATACAAAAAGCCAGGGCACGCCCACTTGCTACACCATAGTTTGAGTCCGGTAAGCTCCCCATTCCCCCCAAGAAGCCCTGGTATGCTGGACACGTTGGGTCCGCTTTGCAAGCTTTTTGCTTGGGGTCTGTGGCCTCTGAGTGGCTGACTCTGCAAAATCGACCCGGTCACCTCTCCCCCTAGGCCCCTCTTTTGGGCTGGCTTCTCTACCACACACTGGAGTTTGTTGGGTCGTTGATGCTCCTAGCCTTACCTGGGTGTTCACAGGAATTGTCAGAAAAATGTTGAGGCCGTAGACTGATCCACACACAGACACCCCTCTCCCCTCGCCGCCCTCTCCCCAGAGCCCCGGTCGAAATCTCCGCGCGGCTCGCTCGCTCTCCGATCTCGCGTCTCGTCTCTGCGCGCCTCGGCGGAGCCGTTGATGATCACGTCCGCCAGCATGGCCGCGGAGCTCAGTGCCACCGCCTGGCCGCCCGTCACCTGCACCACACACACCACGAGCAGGGCAGGCGAGGTGTGCGAGTGGCCGCTGTTGACGCGGGGCCCGCGAAAATACGCGAACCAAAAAGGGCAGCATATGCAAAACACCCTCTGACACTTTTGGGGAGAAAAGTTGTCGCCCGCCCAAGATCTCCGTTTTTCAGACATTTATCTGGGTACCCTTTTCGGTGCAGAAACCCATGCGTTCCCCCAATGTATTCCTTGCTTTTTCCAGGGTTCCCCTCAATTCCCCTGTTCCCCCTTCCAATGAATTCAGACAGCTGAGCTACACTGTGGCTTCGTCGAACTGATAAAACCCCGCCGGGCGGTCGTTCCGCTTTTCGGGAACACCAACCACCTCAGGCTTCTGATAAGACAAACAAGGGAAACGACACAAACACGTGCAATCAATATGTTCGCTCTCATCTATGAATCCTGTTTTGCCGCTTGCCCAGTGGCGAGCTTTGCCGCTAAAACACGCACTTTACTTTGTTTGGCTGCAGCACAAATACTGGGAATACCATTCATGGCTGTACTGGCCCACATCTAGCCAGAATATTTACAAACGCACCAGTCCTTGGACCGCAAAGTGCAAAGCAAATGTTGCCGCTTCCAAGATCAGTATCAGGCACTTCCGGCTCTATCCTACAAGGTTTTCTCGTTCAGCGGTGAAATCAGCGTCAGCAAAAGGCCGGCAGTAATGGAGAGCAGCAGGAAGACGGATACCACAATCAACGGCGTGCCCACCTGCGACCCACTGACCGCATCATTACCCGTCAGCAAAGCCAGCAGCAACATGACGCCACCGCCGCCGTTGGAAAGAATCCCCATGTACACGATGCCAAAGGGAAATTCGCCCTTGCGCACCTGGTGAAGACCACTGGCATAGCCTACCACCAAGGCAAACCAGGCGAGGCCAAGCATGCGAAGCCAGAGAATGGGCTTGGGCGCCTGCGGAAGCAAAGCCTCCAACAGAAAGCTCGGAGCAAACAAGAAGGGCCCAGCCCAAGCCACGACGGTCACCACAATCTTTATCCACAAGACCACTTCGATGAGCTCCATGCGCCGCTGGCGCCGCTGGCGCTGCGGCGCCCAGCGAACGGAAAGCGATCCACGCACTGCAAATGGCTGCGGGTCTAACTGCTCGCTGTCATCTACGAATCTTACAGGTCGTTTTTTGGTACCACCCTTTCGGGTGTTATCTTTTGAACAAAGCCAAAGAAAATGAACGAACCAGATCCCTCGCCCAGCTTGCGGGCGCCCTTCCATTTTGAGACCAGTCCGGCTCCCTGTTTTCTTAGACCTCACCATCTCCACCCCCGGCCCCCCCAACCCCCTCCGTCGGCTCCGTCGGCCCCCCTCGGCCCACGCGGCGAGCGAGCGCCTCGGCCACGTTGCAGAGGAAGTCCCGCGCGAAGTGGTAGTTCCCGAGGGCGGGTTCGCAGCCCACGGAGTAGCAGGTGATGTCTTGGGCCGCCATGTCCCGCCTCGAAAGTCGAAAGCCAACCCCTGAGACTTGTGTTGAGGTTCGTTGGAGGGGGACCCCCCAAACTTAAATGGGAACCTGACAAACAGTCGCCACTTAGGGGGGAGTCGTTTCTTCCAGGGTCCCCTGTCTGATGATTGGGAACTGCCTGATGAATAGGGCTAACCCCTCGTTTCAACATGGTTAAAGCACCGCCACTACTGTTTGAACCACCTCCCTTGGTTGACCTTTGCAGGATACCAGGGGTGGTTGTTTAAGCTTCTTCCCAGGCCTGCAGCCAACTGGGGGGGGGTGGGGGGGGAATGAAGGCAACGGGCCAATCCATGGAGCTGTCGTCTGAAGAGCCCTTTGAACCGGAAGCCTTGAGCTCGGTGAGGCTTTCGGAGGGCCGGGACCCACTGCACGGCTCGTGAGACCCGTGCAAAAGCAACGAGAACATCAAGCAACGCGCTGGGGACCAAAACCCTGCACCGGTTGGCATGGACGATATGAATACCGGTTGACCTACCAACTTATGCGATCAGGATGTTGTCCCGTAAGGCGCACTTCCAGGGCGTAACTACACTTCTTTTCGCCTCAAAAGCCAGTCAGAGCCTCCCTTCAACCCTTCCGTTTCCTTGAGCTGTTCAGACACCCAAAGAAGACCATGGCCCAAAGGAGAAATGGAAGGCACGCCTTTTGCCGAAGAGAGCAAGGGGAAATCGGAAATTCCGATGAAGGTTGATGCCTTTTGAGCAACTGAGCCCAATTTTGGCCAGGGCTCCCCATAGTTCTCCCTTCAAAACCGCCCACCCCAAAAGTTATATTATGTGCATGCTGGCTCAAACTAAAATATTGAGAGCGGGGCGGTGGCTGACACCCCCCAAGATACTCAAAGCAAGTTTCTCCCACGGTCAAAATTATATCAAACAAAAACGCCACCATCCCTGGCACACTCCAAACAAATGAGCAAATATTAATCTCTTCCCCCTTTTAATAAATGGACCCTATTAATAAATACTATTTTTCCCAGACCGCCGGGTCCCCAATACTACTTTTAGAATAGGCCAATTCAAAACCAATACTAAACTCTCGGATTTCTCACCCAGACCAGCTCCAGCCTTATTAGGGGGTGGGTGATCAGTCCAGGACCCAAGCTCTTTGCTGCAACAACCCAAGCTGAGGGTGTTGTTTTGAACCAGCTGGTAATTAGACAGAGGGGCTTCACTGTCCTGCCTGCGTTTGCGTTTCCCTGCCGGGCCTGGCCTGCCTCCCTCAAACGATTTTGGGCCCGCTTCAAGGGATGAGTATCTTTGTTGCCGAGGGGCCCATCAGACCCAACAAGGACCCTATTAATAAATATGTTTCGTCCCCGAGGCTGATTTACTAATAGGGGGGGGGTCCGGGTTTATGATTAGGGGGAAGAGATTCTGTGGGAATGGCCTGCAGCTTTGTTCCAGTGGCTGCGGAGCTCAACGTGGTCCTTATGACTTTATGACCCCCCACTGTAGGACAAGCTCGGCAGACCTCCAAGAGCAAAAATCTACACTGTTGGGGGGGGGGGGGGCCAAAACACATCCCCTAAACGTTGCAGGTTAAGTGTTCTTCGAGTTTTGCCTGTTGGTGAAATATACGTCATACTTCCCTTGTCTGGCAGGCTAAATGGTAGAAAGCTTGCTGCGCCCCGGGTGACTCAGACCCGGTTTTCAAAGCCCTGACCAAAGGGCAGAAGTCTCCTGACGTCCCAGTGGCCGTATACGTCACACTCCATAGTTGATCCACAAATAGACTGTGGATTCCTTACCCGGGGTTAATAATTTGTTTCATCCCAAACATAAACACATATATATATATATACATATGTATATGTATATAGGGTATCCTCAAAAGTGGAACCAGTATGGTTTCCTACCTCAGGTTGTCCAAGAACTTTCCAACCCTTGGCATGTGGGCAAAAGGCGCTGTTCTTCGCACGCTTTAAATCAAACAGAACCGCAGAAGCAGACATGCTGAAACCTTGCCAAGAGCAGTGAAGAGACGGATCTTTTCCCAGGGAAACTCGGATCTGTTCAAGGGAAGCACTGTCCAAAATGGATGGAAGCCGGTAAACGGATCCCCCTCCCCTCCCAGAAAAAAATGCCCTCCCCTCCCCGAGAAAAAAACAGTTCAAAACTCGCGGGGAGAAAAAAACAAAAAGGTGGACCAAAGGAACTCACCTCGGAGGTCTGGGTACGCCAAGCCACAAGATCTTGAGGGGGTCCCGGCCATCCGGGTCCCCGTCGGGGAACCCGTCCCCGGTCGGCTCCAGCCCGTGGGGCGGCGCATCGGCGATCAGCACCTTACAGTTGTCGACGCGTTTTTTTTTTTTTTTGGTTTGCGTGCTTCTCCTTTAACTTTTGGGGTTTCCACTTGCCGAAAACCACCCCAACCCCCAACTCCCAACTCCCAACTCCCAACTCCCAACTCCCAACTCCCAACCTCACCAACCTTCAACCCGAGCCAAACGTCGAGTTGGTCTTACCTGGGAGTTTGGGGGTGGCACCTCACCGCCCAGCCAAGCCCCAACCCCCGAGCCAAGCCTCAAGTTGTGTTTCTTTCTCTTCCCCCCAAAAAAAATCGGGGCTTCCCTTCCAGCCAACCCCCCCAACGGGTCCCACCCACCCCACCCCGCTGCGCGAGCTCAGGCCCTGCAAGTCCCTCACGTCCCTCACGTCCCGCGATCCTTTGGCCGAGGCGCGCAGACCTTCGTGGCGTTGGGCCGCCAGGGCAGCTTCAGCGCCTCAAACAGCCCCGCGGCCACCGCCTCCGGGCCGTCCCCGCCGCCCACCGCCTCAGGCGGAGGAACCGACGCGGAGGGCACCGGAAAAAAACCAGCGGCTGAAGTATGTACAGGGGAAAGCCAAGCCGTGTTTTTGGTGGGTATTCACGGCGAAAACCAGCATTCTCACATTCTATGGCTGAAACCAGTGGTTTCAATCCGTAGACAGGGTTAAACATCATTTGACACCAATAGTATTTGCAGGGGAAAACCATCATTCTAGGAAATTCTAGGGTTTCTAAGTTTCCGAACGGTGGTGGGATGTGCTTTGTCTTATTCTTGCTGGTGCGATAGGGCATGAGAAATGGAAGGACTCCCATTTATAAACCATCCAACTGGTGGTTTTTTTTATTCGGGGACCAAAGCCTGGGTTCATTCCATTTCTCATTCCCTACCCATCGCACCAGCAAGCAAAGCCTTCGGGCACAATCCACCTGGGTTCTACTCAGGCGGCGGAGTGGGGGATGTTCTTCCAAAGAGCGAGGATGTCCTTCGAACAAGGAAGCTTCACTTCTAGAACGGGACAGCCGGCCGATAAATCAAGGGACTTAGGAACCCCTGGGCTCCCATTGAAAGGAGGAAAGTGAACAATGGGAAGACAGGCAGGGTCCCCCCACAAGAAAATCCGGGCAGCAGCAGCAGCAGCAGCAGCAGCAGTCTGATCCGTAAGAACCAGAAAAAGAAGAAAAACCGGCACGCATTACCCCAATCCACCCACTCAAAAGAATGGATGCACTTAAAACTACTTTTGGCGACACATGGGCCCGCTACGAGCTGTGCAGCTAGCATGCTCAAAGCAGCTCGCTTTTTGGCCCCTTTGATCGATGGCGCTTGTAAACCTCGTGCGTTCGACAATTGTTCGCTTTTTCTACATGTCCTGCGTTTGTAAATGGACCCCAAAGAGGCACTGCCTCTCAGAAGGCCCCAAAGGAAGAATCCCATTCGCCCGAAAATTCGATCCAATCAGGATGCTGGGACTGATCTGGGGCGCTCGGCAATAGGGAAATGGAGCCCACCACAGAGATGCTCAAGATTGACTTGTGCACGTCGCGAACGACACGCAGGAACCTGCGTCTTTGCACAACAATCTGAGCTCGTATCGTCACGCGGCTCTCGGCATTTGATTTCTGCCCGTGGCAGGAGCTAAAGGCAGCTGAGCAAGTCTCATCCCGGATGGCGCGCGGCGCATTGTGCGGAACTCCTCCCACGCGCGTTCAAGGAAAGCCTTGAGTTTGTAGGAACAAAGCGTCAATAGACACACTGACAATGGAACGCGGCCGTTGGCCGGGGCATGCAGGCGCGCAGTGATGTTGGCTTGTGAATTGTTGAGCGCCATCGGCAGCAATGCAACCTACCTTTGAGCCACGCTGCCTGTGAGTGAAAAGCCCAGTCATTGCGCATACATACAGAAGGAGTTATGCCATTGCCCTCCTTTTTGTTCGGTCGCCAGCGCTAAAGGGAAAAAGAGCTACATCACCTCCCTCCCCTTTGGCTGGCCCTGCCTGCATGGTGTTGACGAATTCGCGCATCGCTTCGACCTCCTCCGTGAAACCGTGGACGCGCGTCACGTAGGTCTTCTCCTGCGGCGGGTGGTCCCGGTAGCTGACCAGCGCGAACCGCACCTGCGGAGAGCAGTGGGGCGGTTCCTGCTGCCTTCTGTGATAAGTGGGCCATCCCCAAGCAGAGGTGTCCTTTTTAGGGCAAATAGATGGGTTTCCCTGGTGGAGGATTAAACCACCAGGTAAAGCAGGAATCGCCATCTACTTTTCCACCAAGACAACCAAGAAGGAGACCTATGTCCCCAAGACGACTTTGCCGCTTTCGAGCGAATTCCCTTATTATCACAGTAGCCTAGCATGCCCAAAGTCAGGTGCCCTCTAATTCGTGTTTTGTTTGGATCGGTGGTGGGGATTGGTCGTAGGATTGGTGGTTTGGAGAGGGGGTGTCTTCTATAGACTCAACAACAACAAAAACCTGAACAAGACCCCGGACACCGCCGGGCCGAAAACATTAGGCGCCATGTCTTCTGGGGGAGAACAACCTGTTCACATAGGCGGCCTTTTGGAAAGGTAGACGGCCCCAATTGGAATACGTCCCATCTAAACCAGTGCCATCTATTTTTGTTCGAAACTAACCTAAAAAGCACTCCCATGCCTGTTCAGGTTTTCCTACGCCCAGAAAAAAGGCTCTTCCCAAAACGTGTGTTTTGGGTTGGTGGAGTGGAAGTGGCTGCCGGCCGTACAACTTAAACAATGGCAAGTCAACTCTGTGTTTGTCATCTTCAACCATCCCAACGGGACGCTGGCAGGACCGCATCTGGACTTTTGAGCCGCAACGGATCCTCCCAAAAGACTGTTGACCCCTTTGTTGTGGGGAGAATACAGTGACCCCCTGAAAAGTGGTAGAATGCCTCTTCTGATTTTCCAAGAACAGCGCTGGCAAGCCAAACCCTGGATGCGGCACTCGCCAATTCAGTCGGCTGGTTCATCCTGGGGTTCAACCCCAGGATGTCCGATTTCCAAACCCGAGGCGATCTGACCCCATGCGCCACCAGGTCGATGCACCCTTCCTTTTAAGAGGAGCAGATCTTCCCGCGATGCTTCAAGGTTTGTGTTCGGCTCCAGCCACCGCAAAGTTAAGACAACGAGGATTGAAAAAACGAATGGCATGCTTGGGTTTGAACATGTGGCCATGTGTCAAAACCCCGTACTCCCAGTGAACAGCCCAATCCCCACTAAAATAGACTAAAATGGAGGTGCACAGCCATGGGTGTTGGATGGCACAAAATGGTTTGGCAACGATCCGCTGCAAGAGGTTCTCCTACCCTGCCTCGTGCTGGGAAGCTAGCAGTCGGGGGGGGGCCAAGCCGGAAGACGCCCGGAAAGATACAGCTGAGTGCACTTAGGAGACAAGCCGAAAGGGCCCTCGGCTGAAACTAAGCCCTATCTAATATTCAAACCAGAGGACTGTACAGAGCCCCACCAGACGCTCGCCTTGGCACCCTGGGTCTGGGAGATCTTGGTCACAATGGACTGAATGTTCTTCTGCGCTGCCTCGAGACAAGTGAACCGCAAACGACTGCACAGATTCGCGCTCTGCATGCGCGTTGTGAGTGCTGTTCCTATCTGGCCATGAGTTTATTTGGGAACCTTTGGGTGACATCATTCAAATGGTAATCTATGTTCACCATGTCTGTTGCAGCCCATGAACGAATTACCTCCTTCTGTTTCTACCTTGCCTCCTGTTCTTCTTGCTCTTCATGTGCTTCCCCCACTTCCTGGCAAGGCCCCTGTCTTCCTTGTTCCTGCTGCGCTTGTGTTGTGTCTAGCTCCTCCAGTAGAGAGGTTAGAATAAGGGTACCCTTTTTACTGTAGTCTATTTTACTGGGGAACCCTCCCCCAAAGAAGGGTAAAAGGGCACTATGGGGGACCTAGGTGTAGAGCTCTTGCATTCCGATCTGAACTCCTCTTCTTGCCTTTCCTTGCGTTGCCATCCTCCGCTTGCGACCCGGTCTTGCCTCTTGACCTCCGAATCATTCCCAAAACGAGCCTTGCCAGTGTCGGGGAAAACAAAGGCAGAAGGAATTAAGAGAGGGGAGATCGCTTCTTTTACAGTGGGCAACAACATGTGTCGTTGCTTACATGCGCTGGAAGCTCTGTACTCATCGGTTGGCATCTCTAAAATCGGGCCGCCAAAAATTGTAAACCCTCTTTGGAACGATTTTCATGGTTGCTCCAAACACCTGGACCAAGGAGAGAGAAGATTGGTACAATGAGCAAAGATAAAATCGAAAGAAGCAAGACCAAGGCTCTGATGTTAGCTACCAACAGCAAATCAACCACCTGGGGTTCCTAATTCGAAGAAACCCCCGACGTCTTCTTCCCATCTGTGGACAGCGTCTATATTCCCAACGCCCAACCCCCACAACCCTGCAGTTTGTCACTGAACACTTGGGTAGACGCAGCTACGGAAGCGCCTTGATGTAGGCACCCATGGAGCCGGTGCAATCGCCTTCAGTGCCAATCCATCATGGCGGGATTGGCAGGTCATTTTTTCACCCTCGGTTGCCTCCCAAATGGCTGTGGGTCAAAAACGGGTACCCAAAATGGAACCCTGGTAAATGGCCACAAAGACTAAAACCGTGTAAGTCTAGCTCTTGAATTTTGAGCCACACCCGAATGACCCGAAACGAACTGGACGTCCAAAAGCGGCCAATTCCCGGTTGGTCCGTGCCCTTGCACACCATCGAAAACTGGGCGGCCAGCTTTACCGCTGGAAAGAATGCATGATCCCCGGTCAAAAGTTAAGACCCCGAACAAACACAGCGGGCGTCCTTCCCCTTTCCGTAGACATGTGGCTGTGGGTCAAAGCCCTGTACCCCTGGTGAACATCAAAATAGGTGGCAAATGGATGTTCATCCACTTCAAAATGGGATCGCCATTATGCTATGTAACCCATGGCCATGTCGATTTGTCCAAAGGCACAGATGAAGACCAGATCCAGCTCCGCATCGGGGTGCAAGCCTGCAAAGTTGGGGGCAAGAACCGGCCAGCGGAAGAGGAGACACGTACAGGAACCCAGACGCCCAGAATGAAACCGACCCACAGACGTATGGACTGGGCCGCCCTCACATCCCCCGCTCTACCACTAAACACCAGGAGGCTAAAAAGCTAAGGAGATCTTTTAATTGACGCACATTTTGAATGTGATTGACGCCGCTGCTTCACAATATGCAATGGATCCCCATCAATGCCGCATACCGCGCAGACTCAAATGCTGCATCGTGGAAAGAGTTTCACGATGCCCTGAACCGAAGGTCGGTCCCCGCCTTCCTTCGTCTGTGGAGGGTCATCGACAACGATCCAATCCTTGACAGCGCAGCAAGGTTGGATCCAACTCCAGGTTTGAATACTGACTACAGCTGAAAGTGCGATTTGAATCGCACCTTTGGAAAAAGTGAGCGTCGGTGGACGCAGACTAGAGCAGTTGGACAGTCTTGAAGTCGTCCGTGTTGCATCCTAACATATGGTTTAGGATCATTGCTTGGGAGTCATTCCCTGTGATACGCGCCCAAACCTTCGAATAGAATCAGGCACATGTGGAATATGGGAGCAAGGGCGGGAAGCTGCCCATTCAAAACTCACGGAGGGGGTCAAACAAAAGCACCGGAGATAGTGTCGCGTGCTCGCCACTAGGTAGGTGCCAGGACACTAGCAAACTAGAAAGCACACAGACCAGCCAACTAGCGAGCTAAGCTGACCAGCTAATTACATGCCGGTTGTTAGCTGGCTAACTTCACTTCACACGTGCATGCGGTACATGGCCGCTTGGTATTTGCAGGGGAATCATCATTCCAGGGTTTCTTAGGTGGTGCAGGGTTTCGTCCATCCACAGTATTGCCAATGACTCGCAAAGGCTGAGGTTTGTTTCTTTTCAAAGGAGTTGGGCCCTTGGACAAGGCCGCCCGTTCTTGCGGCCCGTGTGAGGAAAGGACACCAGAGGGAACACCACCTTCCCTGCCCTTCGCCCGTCCTCGGAGGCACTCTCGGCCTGGGCAATTTTTGAACGAAACCCGGAGTGTCAAATGAGAAGGGCACCCCGAAACACGCGTGCGTTTCCAGAATTTGGACCCGAATTTGGATGCCCTTCTCACCAGAATTGAGAAAGGAATTGCTTTTGTTTCCAGAACTTGGACCTCTCCAAAGGCAATTCCTTTCCACAGATCCCTTTCCCGAAGCCCCCAAAACCAGCGCCCCGAAACCGCGGGCGCCGGAAGTATCCCGAGACCGCCCAAGGGGCCCCTGGGGCGGCCTCCGTAAAAAGATTTGCGAGAAGGGGATGCTAAGTGAAATGGAGAAACGGACCCCCTTCTGACATGCAGAAGTGGAAAAACCCAAGGAACATTCAATTTCTCGAGGCCATCGCCATGGTATGAAACCTGCACTGCCAAAGCGAAAACCCTGGGAATCCCCGAAAGAACTCAGCAAATACGTCTATTTGGGACTGATATGGATGGTTGCTTGGAGGTTGCTCAGTGCTTCCTCGCAGGGATGTGATTTTGGGGTTTACACTCAGCAATGTGAGAGGGGTCGCTCTGTTGCGTGGTGTTTCAAAAAAATATGGGGAAAACAATCGGGTTTCACATGCTATGTGGTTGGGTCGTTGGCAAGGCTCCTTGTTTCACCCAGGCCGAAGCGACTTGGCAAGCGACCTGGGTTGCCGGGCCCACTACGATGACACCCTCAAAATCAGCCAAAGTGCCTTTGATATCCCAACACGCCAAAAAACAAAGAGCATTGCAGGAGGAAGCTGTGGCACGGGAAGACAAAATGAGCCTAAGTAATGTCGACCCCGGATTCATCAACCTGGTGAACTGATTGTGGATGCTTCGTCGGCTCAAGATGCGATCCCAAAAGTACTAAGCGGAGCCTGAAACATCAGCGGGTGCATTTGAGTCACTCTCTATAAATGAATCAGGCCGTCTGCAACTGGCATGCCGCAAAGACTTGAGTGTGAACGTTAACTGGGGACCTGGAAGTATGTCCACCACTTGCCAGGGCGTTCCAACCATGACAATGCATGGCCACGTTGGCTCCCAAGGTAGCAGCCCAAAAGAAAGTGGACAACTGACTGTTGGCCGCGCTCGAGCTCAGAGTGAAGAGTGTCAGAAATGCTCCCGCGGTGCCACAGAGAAAGTGAGGCAATGAAATGAACGTGTCACGGACCCAAAGCACAGGTTTACACGAAGCGAACCCGACCAGTTGATGTTGCGGTTTGTTCCGCCCCCCAAGAGATGCCTGGAAAAAAGCTGTCACAATACATCGAAGAAAAAAAAAGCTGCAACCACCTGGGTTGCAATTTGACTTCCCAAACAACATGCCCGTCTTCTTGCTTTGTGAATAAATGCGTGAGGTTTAAGGCATGCCCTTCTTGAGGGTGCTCTTTGGAAAACCGCCATTTTCGAGGGTCCCCTTTTCACATTCCACTCGAAGTAGCCAGGCCGAGAACAAAAAACCTGTGCCAGGCCGCCTTTTCTGCTGGTGGGACATCAGCCACTGGGACATCGGCTGCGCTCATGGCTGCTGGATCGACGCGGTGGACCAAATTGTGAGGCGTCAAATGGCTCGAGATGCCCCGCAGATGCGAGCCATGGCCGAAACCCGAGATTCACCGCTGCTTTTGCCCACAAATCATGCTCAGTGAACCTACAAATGTGGACCAAAACAAATCGCAGGAGATTGCAGGTGTGAACAAAAACATGAAATGTCATGTTGGCGGATTTTAAGTCTCTTGGTCTGCAGCAGTGTGATTATCACCCCGATCCAATTGTGGGTTCATGAAAGAGGGTCAGCCTTGAAATGAATCAAAAACCAAACACTGCCACACAAAAACAAATCACAGTTGGGCTTTAGAATGACCGCCTGTTTGCCACATTTTGGAGGAATGACTTCGAACCTCCAATATCTCAGGTGGGTGTTTCTCAAATTGGGTCAGTGTGCCCCCCCCAAACGGAAGTGGGGGGCTGATGCCCCTTTTTGGGGACCCCCCACCTACCCCTCCGAGATGGCGACAGATGGAATTCTATTTTTGGGGGACGGCTCCAGCTCACAAAGAGTATACGCCGACACAGGAATTGGGAGCTTGACCCGATGCCTCCAAGTCGAAGCAAACTGATCGAATGTTGACTTGGCCCCCATTTCGACGGACCCCGATGGGTGTTTGCTGGAGAAAAAGACGGGCATGAAAGATGGGTTCCATGCTTTAGGAAAGCCCGAATGGACACTAAGCCAAGAACCATGGACTGGACACTGCAACCAAAAGTTTGGGTTTGGGCAGAGGATCCGGTCCCAGCCCGTGAAACTCAGAGCATCCCCAACAGAAAAACAAGCAACCAATTTGTAGTCATTATCTCTTTTCCCGCACCACCACCGTCCAAAATAAGAGAGAGAGAGAGAGAGAGAACCTCTACATCCTCCAAATCTCGGGAAAACCGCCTCCTTCCCCCAAAACCGCCCTCCTTCCCCCGCACCTCCTCGACTCCAGGGTGGGCGCCGGCTGCAGGATCACCTTCCCGGCCACCTGCTTGTCCTGGTCCAAATCCAGGCTCTCGCCGATACTTACGAGACGTGGCAGTCACGCCGAGTAGAATCTCGCTGTAAGGGTGGAACAACTCATTCACCGTAACGGTGGAATGACTCGAAGTAACCGCTTTCTACGCGGCGTAACTGCAAGTCCTAGCATATTTAGATGCTGGTCCATTGCTACCCTAAATGAAAGAGCTGTGTCCCAAAATCCAACTTGAGCCCAACCTGCAAGCCCCGGCCCACAAAGAAACTTGATTCTCTTTTATTTGTCTCCTCTCTCTAGCTCTCTCTTGATTGACCCTTCCAATGGTGATAATGAAATTCCGCAATAAGGCGGCAATATGGAGAGCCCTGAGCGCACGGAGCTTAACAAGCCCGTCTGGAGACTCTGGTTCACCTTCTGTCCGGAGCAGGAAAGTACGTTTTGGCTCTTCTTCTTGGAGGGAAACAGATCCGCAACCTGAACGCTGAACGCAGACAGAGAGAGAGAGAGAGAAAGAGAGAGAGAGAGAGAGAGAGAGAGATTTAGAGGGAGAGAGACAGAGAGAGAGAGAGAGAGAAGGACAAAGAAACAGAGAGCGAGAGAGAGAGAGAGAGAGAGAGAGAGAGAGAGAGAGAGAGAGAGAGAGAGTCAGGGAGAAAGAGAGAGAGAGAGTGAGAGAGAGAGAGAGAAAAAGAGTGTGTGTGAGTGAGTGAGAGACAGTGAGAGAGACAGAGACAGATTTCTATGGGCTCCCTGTTTAATTGTAGAAGCGCTGTCTAAAGTGGAAGGGTTTAATTTGAAACCTGATCTGCTTGTTCTTTGTTCTTGTTTTTTCTTCTTTATTTCTTTCGTTCTTCCTTTCTTTCCTTCTTTATTTATTTATTTCGTCCTTCCTTTCTTTCTTTTGCTTTTTTCCTCCTGTTTTTTCTTGGGGGGGGGGAGGATTAAATCAAGAGGAGGGTCTGTTGTCCGTGTTGGTACCCGGCACCACCAAGATCAAACATTTTGGCCGAGGCTGTGGCAAACATGTTTGTGTCAGTGCGTTCATGCTTAGCCTCAACAAGTGGCAGACTTTAATGTGCCGCCTGTCCCATTCCATCTTCAATAGACTGGCTCTGTGGCGAACATGATGTTTACAATGCAACATTAAAGATGTTCTTTGCCGTGCATGTTCCTTGCATGTCTACTCTACAGCCCTATCTTCTACTCATCCAAAAAGGAATTTCGCTAACAATAAAACGGCATGGCTCCTTACATTATTCATGTAGATTATATCAACATATATTGAGTATCTATCTGTATCTTCTTCAAATTACCTCCGGGTTCTCTTCTTCTCACACCCGAATAGTACATTAAAAGCATGTGGATTACTAAGTCCTTTGGCAACAAGTACCCAAGCAACCAAAACTTGGCAAAGGACATAAAATGGGGGGGCTAAAGAGTAGCGAAAACATCTCGAACGATCATTCGTGAATATGGTGTCCAATAAAAGGGCCTAGCAAACACAAGAGGCGAACCTTTGGGGCTCTGACATGTGTGAACCTTGGAAAAGTGAGCCATGGGAAACCTGGCGCCAAGCTTTTCCTCTTCCCCCACCTCCACAAAAAAAAATCGGGCTTGGGACAAACAACAAAAGGCGACTGGCTATCCTCGCGCCGAACATGGAAGCCTTCCGGAAGATTACCTGCTTGCTTGGGTATCTAGGCGTGGCCTGCGACGCCTTGCGCAAGGAACAGTTGACCCTTCCCCCGCCAAAGAAAAAGACTCTGGGAGCTGCTGCACGCCATAGAGGGGCCCCTCCATTCTCAACAAGAGCTCAGATGGCGAGCCCCACCCATCCCAGGCCCCGCCAAAAGGTGCGCCATGAGGCCCGATTGCCGGCAATCTGGGGATTTGGGGAAGAAATCTACGCCGCCACGCGGGCTGGGACCCTGGAATTGTCCGCATGTGAATTCTTGCTGCATGGACACTTGCAATGGTCGCTTGAACGAGTCAACCTCGAGCATGTTCGCGTAAGAAATTGGATTAGATGGATGGGCGGGGTATATCAAGGCGTGCTCGATTTTGCGCCGCATGGCAGGGCTGACGGGCGACCTCCCGCAGGGCTCAACCGCTCGGTTCCAGAGAGGGTTCGACCGCTGAAGCAAAAGCTGCGGCCGATCTGTCTGGCACCCATGGAGCCGACGGTATGGCGATTTTGTACGTTGCTGGGCGTTGGAAACAAAAGACATGACATGAAGAGCCTGGCTTTCGGAACAGTTTACCCAAATGGGTTCGTTGCAAAACAGGAGCCACTCAAATGAGAGCGATGACCTCGCAGTTGACCAGCACAACCCGACAGACGAGTAGCCCACTGTCAGGCTGGGCCGGTGGGAAATGATCTCGACCAATCAAATGGTTTGAGTTGGAATTGAGACCCCGCAACTGAAAGGATCTTACCAATTCAAAACTTTCTTCCATGTTCAACGCGCCCCGGTCTCGCTGGCCAGCTTACCCCAAAGGATTCTCGGCCCTTCGCATCCGCGACCCAAGTGCTGCGTCCTTGGAAGTCACGGGACTGCAGCAAGCCGATGGCTGAGATTTAACTCGAGTCAATCCCAAGTCAGCTTTGGCCTGCCTCAGAGGCTGCGCCAGCCGGATACGGGCCGTTTCCAGCAACCGTGACTGCTACTTGGTCAAGGGAACAAGCACCAGGGCGGGGGTCTATGCAAGATCCCCCCCCAGCGGGCTTCGCCATGAGGCAGGCCCCTTTCTTTGCTCACAAGAGGGGTGCCACCAAAGAAGGAAAAGTGGATATGCATGTGCCTTTCGCCCCAACGTTTCCGAAGCTTCCTGAACTGCCGGAGCACGTCTCAGAAGAAATCGGACCTCCTATTGGGGCACCCTTAATTTGTTGGACTCGAAGCGACTGACCCCTTTGTTGCGCTCCCATTGTCCTCTCAAAGGGACCCTCTGATGGGTTTCATGTCATGGAGGAGGGCACATCGCAGTGCGACCAGCAGAAGCCCCAACGCCAACTCGTTTCGACTCCGAAAGCCAAACGCCCCGAGCTTGCTGTGGTTTTTTTCTTCTCCCTCTCAGCGTCGCCCTGTCCCGGGCTGCCCTGGCAGCAAGCCCGTTTCGAGCTGCCCCGTCTTGGGGCGAGAGAGTCTAGTCGACGCTTGACCTTTGGCTTTAAGCCACTGAGGGATCCCCCCAACCAAGGGGTTCATCTTGGCCCACTGCAGTCGCAATCTTGTCCTCAAATGGCTTTGGCGGTTGCTGTTCGCTAAAACTGCAACTGGCGACCTTCGAAGGGAAACATCGAGGGTGTGACCGGATTCAGATCTGGCGGATCCCTTCGGTTAGCCCCAACAAAGGTGGGAGGCGCCATCTCTAGCAGGAAAACCTTCACAGCATGTTCTGTGAAGGCGACATTGCTGGGAGACTACCTCCTGGTCACAGTTTCCATGCAAGAGTTTCCTCGGATTGGGGGGCTCTATTGATCAAAGTACTAGATGTCCTTGTTGTGGTTTCCACGAAACACCGCACAAGCGTGGGCCCCCCAATGTTAGGAGACCACCATGCACTGCCTCATGTGAGGCCAACCTGAATTCACAATGCAGTCCATGCCAAAAGCTGGATCTTCACCGATCTGAGACCTCGGAGAACTCAACCTCCAACAGGCAAATTATTTAAATGGGTGAATCATACTCAACACTTGGTGTTAGAGGAGTCTGCTCAATACCAGGTGAAGAATCAAAAGATCTCCGCACCATGGCTGGGACTGTCACCAATTCTGCCTGTGACCAAAAAACAAAACATGAGTCTGGGCTGCCCTCAAATCCCCCGCTGAAAGCTTCACTTTTAGTGGGTTAAATGGGAACTACCACTAAAACACAAGGCTAAAAAGCTAAGGAACCGGATGGCTCGCCAGTTGTCATAACGCTTGCCGAAATCAATCCTCAGAGGGGCGCCGGAGCCTCTGGCGCCTCTGGAGCCGCTGGCTTGGAATCCTGGCCGAGTCCCAAGCGGTGGCTATGCTTCTTGGTTTCCTTGGGCGTTTGCCAAGCCCGCCATGAGCCACCCCCGTAAAAGACATGGTATTGTTTGGAAGGCTTCCACCTCCAGGTCATATCAACACCGGTGGTTTCAACTCCACTCCTTTGGGTTCCCCTTCCAAAAAAGGGAAAACCAACCGGGTCTGGTCCACATCTCCCGCCTGCACCTTGCCCGGGTGCTTCTCGCCCAGAAGGACGGGGCGTCTCGGGGTGACCGCCTTGGGGTGTCGGGTTTGTGGTTTTTTTTGCTTGGCACCGACGTCACCGCCATTTCGGACATAAGGAGGAACGCTTGAGACCAATAGGAGGAACGCTTGATTGAAAAATCCTCCATTTGTGTTTTTGCTTGTCACCTTGTGTTCAAAAAGGACGCCAGGAGGAACGCCTGCATTTCAAGCCGTCCCCAAAAAGTAACACGTGCCATGGGAACCAGTGCCAGGGTTTGGTTTATCTGAAGACTGTGAGTGTTTGTTCGCTGGGTCAAGAAGGATTGCACCTTGTTGCTCGCCCCATTGGATTTCATGTAGCACCATGCAAAGGGGAGTTGCCAATTTGAGGTACCCCTATATACAGAAAGGAAGCTATAGACATGACAAATCACCACTTTCCCTCCCCCGAACCGAATCTGATTTGTGCAGACCGAGATGGAACCCTCCACAACAAGCGTCCCTTTGAGCGGAAAAAGACTCTCCCACCCTGGAGCTGGTCTCCTGCAACGAATAGGAGTGCCAAGCCAAGCTCGCAACCACAAGAGCTTTCAACAAGCACGACTGCAACTAAAGTGATCGGCCGGAGGGCTTGAGGCTTGGGAATAGGCAGAACTTAGATGCTCCCATTTGCCCCCAAGCAACCATACCTGTTCACCATGGCACATGTTAGTTATACTTGTACCCTGGGGAATCCCGACGTTGTTCAGAAACCGACATGTCGATTTTGAGCCAGCTGCCAATATATCAAAACAGTGGTGGGGCACTGGACACCCTACTCTGAAACAAGAGGTCATGGTGGGCTGTCAAAAAAAACCAACCGCAGCTTGCCATCCGGTGGAGGAATACCCAAAAAAGACCCACCTGCGTACCAAGCCAGGTTGTCCAAACCTGAATGAGGAACCTCCAGCACCAAGGGGCTTCCCCCTCACCCAAAACCCCCAAGTGTCCATCTCGGCGCTTCGCGGGGAGCCTGTTGCAGGTTGTTTGCCGAACAGGGCTGTGGGAAATGGAATCCACGAACCTGTGATACAAAGAGGGCCTAGCCCCAAAGACTAAACCCCCATAAAATGCCTGTTTACTAATATGGGGGTGTCCCTGGTTTCAGTGAGGATTTATCACTTTTGGGGGGGCCCCCACCCCCATATTACGCAACAGGGGTTTATTCATCCGGGGTCAACATCAAGTAGATTCCAACTCGTATCACAGCGGTTGGCTGATCTCCTCTTGATCCTACCCTGTTGAATGAGACCATGGATGGACTCACGGCTCCCCATCTGAGCCAACCGCAAAAAAGTGGCCGCATCCAGCAGCTCGGCTTTTGGAGCTTCGCGAAAAGCTCCACCCCCAAAGCAGTGCAGCAATGCCCTGTGTCTTTGTACAATCGATAGAACACAGCGAGGTTCATTCATCCAGGGTTGACATTAGGGAAAGATGAGCGGATAGGATGCTTGCCCAAGGAAAGCCAGGACCCCGCCATTTGCTGACTGCCTCGCAAAAAAAAAATCAAGAAAAAGGAAAAAAAACTGCCCCGAGCCGTTTGGGGGAACAAGATGCTTGGCCACTGAGGCCCCGCGCGTGCGGCTTCTTGGTCCGCTTGTAGGCCCTGAGCTGGAGGCGTCCCCAAGGGCAGCCTCCAACATGGGGCCTGGTCCAACTTTGGCTTCTCTTCAGAAAATGGAGCCCTAAAAAACCGAAGCCTTCCGTGTGTCCCAACGGCTGACGGATTGTGCCCAGTGCCCCTGGGTCTATTTTAGTATGGCATCTTCAGAATGACCCTCATAGTTCACAAGGGGCTTCCCGCACCCACAAGCAATTCTGAGAACCCCTCAAGTGAGGAACCAAATGTACATGGAGCAAATTGCTGGGCACTCCCCATCAGGCATCTGCTTGATAGGGGTTCTTTTTTGAGGAACCCTTTTTGGGCTGGTTGAATGGAAACCAAAAGGAAGTCCCCCTATCCTTCGACGCAAAACCTTTTCTGATGGAGTCCCCTGAAACGGCCAACCTGATTCAAACCATGTAGCACCGATTCTGACAGAGGCCGCTTGGCCAGACGAGCTTCATGGATGCTGCTCGTGTATGTGCGCGCTCCGTTGTTTCTTTGCACACATTGTTGCACTGACAGAGTGACCTAGATAGCCGGTTGCCTCACCACCTAAGCCTATGGGTGGTTTCAGGGTAAAGTGGATGGAACAAAAGTGATTGTAACGTAGCAAACTGGGCAGGAAGGAAAGACCACTGATATGATTGGTCAACCTGAAACCCTTAAAAATTGCGTAGTGGCTCCAACTGGACAGTCTCAAGCCCACAACACGCAAAGAGAGCTGCACAAACCAATGGTTGGGGGCAACGGGTAAGGAGATCTGAAAAGAGTCACCAAAGGAGAAATCCTCAAACTTCAGCTGAATTGCGCGTCGTCCCCCCAAACGGGCTTCATAGCTTCCTAAGGTTTTGAGGGAGCAAAGCCCTCGCTAGACGTCACCCCCAAGTCGTACGAATCGGACGTACGTTCTAGAACCTCAGGCGGGCCTGGAACCTGTGCGTCCTTCACTCCTTGCATACAAAACCACGGGTGGCTATTGCGGACCCGCCCAACAAGGTGAATCGCTGTTGCTGGTTTCAACCAACAAGCTGCTCCGAAGACAAGCACAGCAACCCGCAGCTCAAATATGTTTGGCTTCACCACATATCCTCTATGGGTGGCTTGAACTTTCCTGCTGAGAGGGTGAAAAGTGAAAGTCAGAGGGTTGAGACTTAAAGCGCGAAGGTTCGGTGAATTGGACGTTCTCCTGTCCTACGTCGATTTGACTAAATGTTGTCAAACGCTTCGCATGCGAGGGTAGGGAAGGACGACCTACTCCGCTTGCCGTTGTTGTGTTCAACACGAGTGTGGACCACGACAAGCTGTAAAAGGCTACGGGTCCGATCAAACAGCAGCCAAACAAGAAGCAGCTTTGGCTGGCAGAGTATCTAGCATCTGTAGGTACTTTCAATGGATGTGCATCTTTATTTGGACACATGGGTATATGACTCGCATGACAAAATATGCAAAAAGATCAGGCCATGGGTCCCTTGAAAAGAAGCTGGCTTATCCACACATCTTGAATGCCCTACCCTGCCAACTGCCGCGCTCGCAAGCAGCTGAGTGCTGAGCAGCAGGTAGTAGAAACCGTCCCAGGCCCAAAGGCCTCCCTGGCGATTCGGCGCATTGAGGCTGGTGGCAGGGTCACCAACCCCCGTTTGGTTGAAAATTTAGTTGGAGCCCCCTCAAACTGGGAAAAAACTTGTGGGGAGTGTTTCATTTGTTGGGTCAAGGCCTGCGGTTGATCACCCCAAGCAGGCCACGGGCAACATCTCGGAAATCCCACTAGGCATGGCAGGCAGGCAGAAACGTTGCTCACGTGCCGGCCAAACTGCCAGCCCTGTACCATCATTCACTGGTGCGAGTTGGAGGGGCCGAAAGTCATCCCAAGCAACTTCAAGCGATCCATGCTCATTCCCACTGCTTCGGGGCGATGCTTCGCTCTCGCCTCGCTTTGGGAGGGCGAGTAAAGGAAAACCAAAAGGAGACAGGAAAGCTATGCCCAGCCTGCAGGGCCGACTGCTCTGGGGAGAGCGCGTCCCACTGGAAGGGATTCCTAAGGTGAGTGAAGGTGAGTGAGCGAGCATTTCCGTGGCCGGCTGGCCATGTATAAACAGATAGATAAAGTAATCAATCAACCAGAAAGAAAGAACTAAATGAATAATTATGTAAATGAAATGAATGCATATATGCTCTCCCCCCTGTTTGTTGGTGTTGAAGCCTTTGAGTGTGCCTGGCAGGACAGTAGCCGCAGCGCAGTAGCAAATTGTGTTCGCGCTTTTATGGGTCGTGTGATGTCCTGCACAAAGAAATCCTCTTACAAAGCCAATTTGAAATGACAAGTCCAAATATGTGGTTTTTCTTTGAGAAAAAAGTCATGTTGAATTCTAGTTAAAGCTAGAATGTATACCAGAAGTTTGTCCATATTAACATATGCTTACATTCTAGATAGAAAGTCAAAACATCCTGGGAAAGAAAGCCTCTTCAAAATATAATTTGAAGTAGGAATCCCAAGTGTCAAAACACAAAGGACATCCCAGTTACAGCATCTTTAGAAATGGAATTGGGGTGCTTCGCTTTAAATGTCTAGTTAAATTCTAACTAGAACAGAGACCCCTTCAACTGAAATAAGACTTCCAGTTAAAAACTTTCTTTGAAAAAGGCCTACTCATAATATTGTTGAAACTAGAAATTCTACTAGAATTGTGTCCTTATCAACAGTCCATTTAAACTCTGATCAAACGAATACAAATAGAACATGTGTTAAACTCTAATTTACCCCCCCCCAAAAAAAAAAAAAAAAAAAAAATTAAGAAGAAAAAAACGACTGTGAGTTACAAGTATTCTTTGAAAAAGAACACCGATTGTTTGAACCCCTAGGAAAGGTCCCCTTAAGTCCGGGCCCCGAGCCGATTGAAACTGTTGATTTTCTTCTCAGGCCCCCCGTCCGGGTTCTATCTGAGAAAGAGTTCAAACGGTTCAAACGGTTCAAACCGTTTACTCGGTTTTGGGCCCAGACCTTTCCTCTGAGAAAGGGTTCAAGACCGTTTGATCAGCTTCAACCGTTCAAACGGCTTTCAGGGGGCCCTGACCCTCTTCTTTGCTGTTTTGTTTGGCATCTTCTAACCAAACCTCAGCTTAGAAATAGGACAAAGGCAGATCCAAACCGACCCAAATTCATTCCGGACCGGATTCGCTGAAGCCCCGGAAAAGGTTGAAGCCTGAAGCGTCCAGCTGGTGTTTGGAAGTTCACCCTGTTTTTGCTGCTGTCCGCAAAGCCAAAAAAAGCAGAAAACACCGCACACACCACTTCGGCACCAAAAAACATGGGCAGTTAGGGAGAGGCACATCGTGATAGGTATCCAAATATATAGTATATTGTTTATCCTGACATAGTGGTTTGGTCAAAAAGGCCAAGCTGTTTGTGGTGCCACTAAAATCGGTGTACCCGTTGGACTTTGTGCAATGGTCAAAAACTCAATGGCCAATCAACAAATAGACTAAGGGGCTTGTACCAGCGGTTCATACCTGGTCATGTCCCACCATGCTTCAACCTGAAACAAGGAGGAACCTTCATGAGCAAGGTCGCAAAACCGCCGGCGCCATCCCCGCATGAGTGATAAGGCCATGAAACCCCCACCCCCCCCCCCCCCCAACCCCCAAATAGATGAGTACAGGTATCCCTGTGAGCAACAAGTCGGCAAACAAGCGCTGAGGA